AGCCTCTCGGGATTGATGGTGGACTTGGGTGAAATATCCATACGTAACAAATTTGTGTTGGGAGAGGACAGGAATGAGCTTGGGTACCCATCCATTTTTGACGAGATGACACTGGAGCTGTATAATGTCAAGGTGTCAAGGTAAGTTGCCCTAATTTTTTTTTCTGTTCTTTAAATAGATTTGTTGGTAAGCATAAGCTGGTTATTGTGATAAAGGGAGGGCTTGAAAAATCAATAAAAAATCACTTAAGCATATACTCAGACTCTTTTTAGATCAGTGGTATGTTATGCAGGTTTTATCATAAGCCATGTTTGATTTGTAGTTGATAGAAATAGTGTGACAAGGACAGTATTATTTCATTGCAGGGCTTAGTATGTATATATCATGCAGATTTTTACAGATTTTGCAGATTTTACTCCTATCTATGGAAATATTATTGCCTTACAGGGTTGTACTATCGGCAACAGGAGTCGCAGAGCAAGAACATGGGCTGTTACAACCCATCTCGTTAGACATCTCAGTCAAACGGAATCTCACCATATCTTGGTACAAGAAGAAGCCAGAACTTGAGATCCAGGCTATGCTCAAACCAATCAAGGTAGTTGGAAGTTTATTTAGAAGAGAACATCAGTTTTAGGTTATTTTTAATTCATGACTCAAACTTGAATATATTAGTAAATACCATTTTTAACTATGCATATAATTTCAACTGCTCTAGATATATATTTTGGGACACCAACAGGGTAGATCTCCACTTGTAGTTGACTACTGTTTTTTCTTTCCTTCAGATGGTCTTAAGTGAGGAGGACCTTCGTGTGACACTCAAAGTGCTACAGGACAACCTAGGGGAGCAAGGCGATGTATCACTCTCAGAAGTCAATGCTCCTCAAGTGGACAGGGGTCAGTTGCTTTAGTTGATAGCTTATAACATTAGATATTGCAGAAGGGACTTATAATTCTTAAATATCATGGTCTGAGGCACTGGATATCACCTCTTATTTAGCACTGCTTTCTAAGAACACTTGTGTAGCCTTTCTTAACACAAAGGTGGTAGTACTTCTTGCATTAAGCTTCCTAGTTTATAACACATTAGTCTCTTTGACCAAAAATAATCATAGTACCTAATTTGATAACCCAAAATGGGCTTCTTATAATGCTTTCTTATTTATATTTCTGTATTTCTAAGATGTAATTTAGATTGACAAGATTTTTGCTTCTGCAATTCTTGAAACATTTCAGGATGAAAGGATTTGATTCAGTGGTATAATATGACCTACTTTTTTGTCTTTAGTGAAGCTTTAAAGACTTTTAGCCCAGTCATTTTTTTCCCTTGTATGTGGTGCTTTTGTTGATTAAGTGTATATACGTATTAATATTGTTTTCATTTGTTATTGTTATGCTTTCAGTGATGTTTTTCATTAATAGTGTTAAAAATACATATTTGAATATATATCTTATTGCTAATTTGAACAGATATATTATATTGGTGTATTTGTTTTTAGAATCAGATTTCTCTGTTGGTTAATTTTCAGACTGTTGCTAAGCGCAGTATGCTTCTTACATTTTCATTTTGCCAGACATCATCATTTTATTTCTTGGAACATTATGGTGTTATATTGATTTGGAGGTTTTAGATAGTTGGACAGATATGAACTAGGAACAATAGTTTTCCTACTTTAATCATTTGGTATTTTCCTCAAAGGGAGTTTGATGACTTTCTTTGATATAATTTCATGTTTAGAGTAGCTATTAGCCCAAAAGATTGAGTTAATGTATAGATTTTTCAGCTAGGAAGTTGATTCTTACTTAACTCACTTGCCTAACAGCCCATTTTAAATGCAGAAGCAAGTTAGACATAATTTTTTCTCGCCTTCCTTTATTTTTTTATGGTCTGTTTTCTATAATGTTAAATTTATTTTTTGCACCAAAGGGCAAATAATGAAGTCTAGTATTGACCTAGTATTAGTAGTAGTAAATATATATAGCTGTAAGTTGTTTAGACCTAGATCTTGTAGAATTTTTTCTCGCCTTCCTTTATTTTTTTATGGTCTGTTTTCTATAAAGTTAAATTTATTTTTTGCACCAAAGGGCAAATAATGAAGTCTAGTATTGACCTAGTATTAGTAGTAGTAAATATATATAGCTGTAAGTTGTTTAGACCTAGATCTTGTAGAGTATGGGAATAGGTAAGATACTTTTTGAAAGGGAACTGTCTGTTACTTTTATAAACTCTCTAACTCATTGCTTATATTGCTTTTTGGTCTTAGTAGTGAATAGTTCTGTTTTATCAGACCACTTTATGTCACCATTTTAACCTCTTTGTTTACATCATCATTGTCTATTGACACACATCATTTTACAAATTGAAGCCCAAAGGTTGTGTTTCTTTGTGGGTTTTCTTTCTTGTTATGCAGTCCTTTGTATCTTCCTGTATCACACTAACTTCTTGTCTTCCTTTTGGACCTTCCTTCTCTCCTGCATGGCGGCCCATCTAGTATACTCCAACCAACCTGAGCTGTCTAATACACTTATATTGGATCCTAGCCATTCTTGTCACTTACAATGAATGTGACAGTGTCTCCAACTACCTGCCATCTTTCAATTCCAACTTGAAACTTTCCCCTCTATTCATGCAGATGTCCTTCTACCAACAAATGACATCCACCTCTCTTTTCTTTCCACTCCACTTTGCCTGCACCTGTCTTTACCCTTTTACCATACTCAGTTACTTGGCAATGTTAACCACAAATACTAAGGCTCCTTCACCTTTATCACCTCTGCTCTCTGCACCTTCACTGTTTGCCTTCCATCTTTGTATTCTATCTTGATCCTCAACAAATACAACAAATAGAAACTGAAAATCTACCTCACCCAAAAAGGATGGTTTTAAAAGGGCACCATTTTTGTCACACTTGTCTCAAAACAGAGTCACAGCCTTGTAAATAATGCACATTGCTTCTCCTTCTGCATGCTTACTGCTGGTAACTAGCAGTGAAAAGGACCCGCAAGAAAGGTATGTCCTGCTTTGTTTATGTTGTCTCAGTGTCACGTAAATGTTTGACTCTTCTTGTGTCATTTCATACAGTGTTATTGCCGATTGTTTTTATTTATTTTTGTCTATTTTAGCAGTGATTGGTATTACTTTTTATGCAATTTTAATAACATTTGAAATCATTCATGTGCAGGTTAATGTGAACTGAATTTTGGAAATAATTTTAACGTTGATTGGTATGGTATAGGTATGGTATTGATTAGAATTGTTTTGTGCTATCAAGATTACTTTGTATAAATCATGCAGATTTTGTAGCTGATACTGTGTAGCTAATATGATTTCTGATGATTGGCAGAGCTTACAGAGAATGCTCAAGATGTGGAGATGTTTCTGGCTCAGCACGGGCACAGCTACACCAAGATCAGCTTTACTTTTACCATTGAATCTGTGACCCTGTCGCTACTCACAAGTGCACAAGGGGCAGTAAGTGTTACTTCTTTCTTTTTGGGAGGGGGGAGCAGATTTTGGTAAAATGCTATAAAAGACTACTTTCACTCCTATAAATTTTCTCTATTTTTTTTTTGCTGTCTGTGTTTTACAGGTGTGGGTTTTTGAGACTAAACTTTTGGGGTTTTCCAAGCAAGAAAAAAAGACTGAGAGAAAAAAAAAATGATGAGAAAATCAGGATATCATCTTGTATGTTCCATTTCAACTTACAATATGTATTAGAGGTTGAGAAAAATGTACATACTCACATTTAAAATGCTAACCCCATGATATAGATTTTTATGTAATTAAAATATATTAATACTGCAGAAGAAGACCTAAAACTTATTATAGAAATAAAACAATGCTACCCATAAACTTTCAATCCCAAAACTTAAGGTGTGATATAACTTACTTTATTACTCAGTAATTTGCCTTTCTCCTGTGTTATAGCAAACAGAATATTTATCCAGATAAATAATATATAACATCCTTAAAAAAATACCTTTAATACTGCCACAAACCAGAGAAACAGCTAGGTGAACACATCATCATGTTTCAGAAGGAATCGTTGCTCTATGAGGATGAATCCATGGAGAGCCTGACGTCGTCTTCATTCAAGGAGCTGTCCCCCCAACCAGGGACAAGTGAAGCTTTTGCCCTGCCTCGTGTAAGTCTCGGGGATGCAAGAGGCAGCAGGAGATCACTGCCCCATGTGACAGGCAATGTAGCTATGCAAGAGTCAGGATCAGTGGCCCATGGCAGAGAGCTGGCTGAGTTCAGCTTGAAGGTGGTAACGCTAAAGGGAGATATGTGCTCAGATGGATCGCTTTCGGCCAATTTGGTGCTGTTTGACTGTATCCTGCAAGATACAAGACCAGGTAATTTTTATTTTGGTGTTCATGTTTTGATATGTTTTGTATAATATAGCTCTGCTGATTTTTATTTTCCATGGGTTATACTGATAGGAGTATTGATTTTAAACATAAGTAAGTAATTAAACTGTTAATGACAGGAAGGCATACTTATATGTCCAGTCCCTTTATGATTTTTTATTTTTATTCTCATTAATCATCATCTGGACGGCTCCTGAAGTGCTTAGTAACCAATTGCTAGGCCTATGCTATATAAACTGTATACCTTTTCATTGATTTTCATAAGAGCCTGTGACAGAGGTCATCATTTTCATCTTTTTGCTTTGTACACTCTGCAGGGGGGAGGTGGTCTTGGGAAAAGAGTACTTTCTGTATGTTTGTGAAAATCATGAAAAAAACGGGAGACCCATAAGGGCTACTAATTTATTCCTCAGTGGTTAATAGCTTGTGGAGTCATCTATGTAAATATAATTCACAGCACAAAACTACAGTGGATAATGCATGTACCCAATCCCTATGGGGTTAATAATAATGAAAGTGATGATGATATTGATAATATTGATAAAAATCTTTGTCTTTAATTATATATAACTTTTTGTGCGAACCAGGTCAGGAGGGCCACATCACACGAATGATGAGAAGGAAGC